TGTAAACCGATGTGGCTCTTTTGACTTATAGTAAATGCAATCACCCTAGGAACAACAAGAAATTAAGTGCAGACTTGTTGTAAAAAGACATCTGTATCTGACACAATAACCAGGACACAACCTCAAAGAAAAGGCCTCACCCCTCACCAACTTATGCATATCGTTGTCTGCAATACTATCTTGCATCCAGAAATATCACTGAGTGCCATAATAAGACTATTCTAAAACCCAATAATAGTAGATAATAAAATGAGACGAGTGAGATATTATTAGCTCATCATGTGTAGGATACAAACAGAACATCTTGGAGTGTATACTATGTCCTCAATCTGAACTGAATGTTCAGTGTCCGAACTACTAGTGAAGAACATTTTAGCGTTCATTATTTTCCACGTGTAGTATCTTTTTGTTAAACCTAAAATAAACTTCACCCGTCAACACCATGTAAAAAGCATCCAACTTTCCCTTAATGATTATGTGATGCATTTTGTAGTCCACCACAGATTGTAATTTTTTGCATCATCCTCCCATTGTGGTAGACGGGGGTACTTTTGTAAACCCGTGAAAAGAACACCCACACGGAAACAACATCGATAACTGCAGCACGAAGAAAGAGCAACAGATAAACAACTGATCGTTTGAATCATCCACAGAATCAACGTCTGAATCACTGATTGACTGACTCATGTTTGTTTCATTTAGATCATCTGTCAACCACGACACCAAGTGCACAGCAGTTTGAGAATAGACCTCAAAGTAGGTGTTGAAAGGTTATAGAGGGTGGAGCTAATGCATTCCCAAAGCTCCAGTTGTCATTCAAAACATGAGGGTGAGTGAGACCATAGGGCTGTAAACAGGCGGGCTGCTTATTATAGCACAGGGCATCACAGGGGAGACAGTTGACTGGCCATCGTTGAAACGATACAACTAAATTTAGAGGAGCTCTTAATTTTGGTGACTATAAAAAAGCACACTTGCAATGCCAATGAAAGTTTAAGACAAAGAAAATCTGAAGTTCACCTTTCTCTTGGGCTTACAAAATCAAAATTTTCCCTATTTATTTTAATGCAAATTGCTTGACTTTCTTGAGCATTATTCATCCCAAATAACAAAAAACTTTTTCTGAAATGATTTTTCTTGTTGTCTGACATCACCTGTCTCTCTTACTTTTTGGCTACTCCCTCAAACCACAGTTAAATTCTTTTGCATTAATGAAAGAATCAGTAAGAATGTGTTAATAAACTACATAATAAAGAGTACATCCATTACTACATAATAGTAATATAAAATGAGTTTTCCAGCAAAGTGTCTTCATTTTACAGTACACAAAATCTATGCAGTAATCCCTATTACAGTAGTAAAATATTTGTGGTGATGAAACACAGTACTTCGATTATTACTGTAAAAACGTTTAAAGTAGTTTTTAAAGTTACTGTGATTAAATTTACATAGCATCCTGTAAAATGAACTACAGCAACTTACTAGCTAATTGCTGCCAACAAGTTACAGTAAATTTCACAGTAATCTTTTTATTGTGTACATTAAAACTGCACTGTAAAAATTTTTTTTTCATGATTTGTAAATCAACATTTTTTTCTTTTGTCAAATCAACTTAGATAATTTATGTAATTCAGATAACATAATATTTTGAGTTTCTGGTGATTAAATTATTCTCCTTCATTGTATTAACTCGATTTTTCCATTTCAATGAACTTTAAATTTTAAGGCAACCAGGTTACTTTTTTTTTTTAAGTTAAACCAACAATATTTTTTACAGTGTGTATAATTCTCAGCGTGTTGCAAAAACACATGAAAAACATTACCAAAAATACAAATTGATCATTCTTTTATGGTGTAGGCAGTGAAAAATGTTATTAGTGAAAGTAAAAAAAGTAAAAATCTGTTTTACTGGTCCAACTGATAAGCCACCAGAAAACTAAAATCTATGGATAAAAATAAATGCTTACTAGCCAAGAAATATAATAGATTACCAAAGTCCTACGGGTTGCTCCCATTGTACTTTGTGTTTCACATTGACTACCACTCACATAACCATTTATTGGCAAAATTTTCCGGTGCCAAATGACAGCATGGCCTTGCATGACAATTCCAGTCTGTTTGGCTACATCCATTAGCTACTTCGCACATATAACTCAGATGGCACTTGTATACCCAATACGCCACGCTACCGTTAATGTAGCATTGTTTGCATGTCCCATTACTAATACTTACAAAAAATATTGATATTGCTTTGTTATTTAGGAGGTTTGCCAGAGATCTTTATATGTGGGTTATCCCATGGAAATAATTATATAATATCTAAAACATAAAGAGTGTAGGTGGTGAACCGAGAGGACGGGGGCATGTCAAAGTCATGCCATTGATTTCTATATCAGCACCCCATTCAATATATTATGTAATGTTTCAGCTTCAGTGTTGACCGTTTCTGTCTCTGATTTCAAAGATACTGTTCTTTGCCTTTGTTTGAAGTGATTGACACAATACTAACTACTATTATGGTCTACATTTCTGCAACGCAGATTAAACAGACCCCAGAACAAAGCTGTTTCCAATATCTGAATTCTTTCCAATCAAACCCGTTTAATCTTAGCAGGGGTTTTCTTTATCACAAAGTCAACCATTTAAAGTTGCATTTAAATGATTTTCTCTTTATTCTCTCTGTTTTACGGTCACATGTTTTCAGTCAGATAAAAGCTCGGACAGGCAGCTATACCAGTCGGTCATCAAATCTGCAATCCATCTAATCCATAATGATTCAGCAGGATGTTGCAAGGCTTTTTCCATTACATAACACAGGTATAATTAATTAAAAACCTCCTCAGGGAGTATCGACTTATAATGATTCGCTCCCAGTTCAGCAAGTTTAGAAGATCAGCTCAGCTTATCCGGTAAATTCGTTATAGCTTGCAAAATCTGCAAAGAAATGTTCCAACACTGCAGAGGGAACTCATTTGGCCTCAATCATAAAGTACTTAAAGGTGCACCAACTATTTTTTGACCGACGTCAGAACATTTCTTTGTAGAGTCTGCAAATTTGAAAGCATCTGCTGAAACAAAACACATGATCGCACATGTCAGACACCTCCCGGTTGAACATTTTACAGAATGTCTTGCAGCTATTCCACTTTTAAACAAACTACCGGTAAGTAACCAGTGGAGGATGCACACAATTGTACAGACAGATGTGTAGACCTGTACAATAATTGTGCAAACCTTGATGCTATTGTTGCATAATCAGAACATAATCTGTACATGATGTGTTACAGCATATGCGGATGAGTGTCAGGTTCCCTTAAGGAAAATGAGACATGTCAGCACTCTATTCTACACTAGTGTTGAAGAGTAAACAATTATGACACATGCTAAAAGACCTAGCCTGTTTTATTAAAGGAGAAGGTTCGACATTTTTTTGTCTAGTCCTAGTCAAAACGCTCCTAAAGGAATTCTATTGGATTTTACTCACACTTTGGAACAAAGGCACACTGGGAATTTTCTTTGAGGAGTCCAACAAAACACAAAACAAAATATATTTAGAAAACAATAAAGTTATGTCGGTTAATAATAGTTAATGCTTTAATGGTACATCAACTAACAACAGACAAAATTTTTACAGAATGTATCTTGGTTAATGTTAATTCATGAACGACTATTGTTATGTTTTTTATCAATTATTTGTTAATTCATAATTTAATTTTCATAATTTATACAGCTTCAAAAGTTTAAAATGCATTAGTACACTAACATTCAAATATTCAGGGTCAGTAAGATTTTTTTAAAAGAAATGAAAACTTAAATCACACAATACACTATATCATAAAGTTTCATTTGTTAACATTAGTTAGCTATATTAGTTACCATGACTGTCACTTACACTAACATGAACATTTTAAACTAACATTAACAAAGTTAATTAGTTATTGCTCATTGTTAGTTGAGTTCATGACATGTCAATGTTAACAAATAAGACATTGTAAAGTGTCACCGATTTTTTTTCCGAAGTTATATGACGAAGACAAAGGGAACATAATTCAAATAAAACAAAGTATGAATATAAAGGCTCCACTCCCTAACTCTGTACAATAATGAAAAATGTGAAATAGTTTTTTAAATGGAAAAAATCTTTTGCCCTAAATCAACAGAGAAATTATATAATAAATTGCAAACGTATACAAAGGGATCCCTTCTACAAATAAAGAGGTGACTGGATCTAAAATAATGGCGTATATCTATTTGAACAGGTGACAGATAAACAGTGCGAGTGCGAGGCAAAAGAAGCGCCTGCACACCCACACACTGTTATATAGTCATTCCTCTGTATTGATTCAAGCACAGGTGAGAGATGGCCAAACCTCGCAAAGCTCTGACGGGAATGTTGACGTCACTTCTGACAAGGACGAGAGACAAGTTTGCTCTGCCAATATAAGGCTAAGAGCCTCTCGAACTCTGGGAAGCAAAATTATATTACCGGTATTTTAAAATCTGACAAAAAAAAAAAAAAACTGCTTCAAGTTCACAGTCACAGTGGTCATTTGCAACTGCCACAACACATTTGCTTTAAATACCGGGTTAAATACTTTCAGGAGCATTCGAAAGCACATGTTGACCATATTAACTTAACTATCTTAACCTAATGGCCTCAACAGATTAACCAGCCAAAGAGAATGCACAGAAAGAGAGTGACATTGGTCATGGTACTGTGCAAAGGAAAAGCAGCCACCTTGGTTTCAGGTTTACACCATGACCCTCATGATTTTTCCCAAACATAACTTGACCCAGACAAAACAAAGTCAAGGTGTAGCCACAGCACGACTGTTGTGCTATCAAAGAAACATCAACACCTTTGACTTCAATGCATCTTCAAATGAGAGCAAAGCAAACACATTTCTACCTGCCACCCGGCCGAAACCGGTACACTTCTCTTCAAGCATGCTTGCATTTGTGCATCTCTCTAGCCCGTTATCTCTCTCTCTCTAACTCACCAGTGCTAGGCATGCTGGTGCTTCTGGATTGAGGAAGCAGCTCCACGGGTCGCTCTCTGCTGGACGTGCTGTCTGAAGAAAAGCAGGATTCGGTCTCATAGATCGTCTGCAACATCGCGCACAGTCCCGGTACGGTTGGCTTCAAAAGCATGCCAGTCTCAAAACACCGCCACACAATAAATGCAAAAAATAACGCAAAATCAACATGAAAAAGGAGATGGCAACCCACTCTCCATCAAAAAAAGTGAAAAACGCAAACACATTTGAAGGAAGAGGGCAAAAGGCAGTGCGTCCTTTTTTATCAAAATGTGCGTGCATGCAAAGAATCATCAACCGCTTTGCCCTTTAGCTCCATGGTTTAATACAAAATAAATGAACTAAAAAAAAAATGCAAGCAGAACCAGTCTCCGTGGAAGGAAATGCCGTAGACAAATCCTTTAATTGCCCACTCGGAACCATCAGCTGTACGACACACAAACGAGTCTATTCATAAACCACATCACCTTCTTGTCTAATTGTCTATGTCAGGAACAAACTGCTAATTCACGCCGACAAGTCCGAGTGTGGCTCGTGTCCAAGTCCCCCCTGTCTGAGCGTGCCTGTATCCTGCAAGCATCTGAAGTTAAGCATGTGGTATCGGCAGACTCCAAAAGAGAGACTTCCCCATGACGAAACGCGACGGAGCTTGGAAAGACGAGATGAAAGCGACCGAGACGGGAGAGATGATCACAATACAGAGTCTCTCTGTTCCTTCCAGTCCTCGCGACAGCACAGTACAACTCGCTCTCCTGATGAATGGGCTTAGAGTGGACCGTCCGACGTTGTTCTGTTTAGTGTGACTGCGTTGCTTTTATGTAGCCGTTTTGTTTAAAGCCGAATCTCTGCAGCTTCACCCGCTGTGCCTGGCGAACGGGAGAGCAGAGGTGTAGAGACGTGGAGTTTACAAACAGACTGGAGCTGCTTCAGGCTGCTGGAAATAGCTGCCGAGCGACAGGGGAGGGGCGGGACCGTGCTATAAATAGAGTCGGGAGCTGAGAGCTTGCTTGGAGAAAGGGAGAGGAGGGGCGAGAGAGACGGAAGATGGAAGAGAGGGGATGGTTGATTGTTTATCACGTAAATAAAGGAGCCAAAAAAAGGAGCCAATCTGACACAAGACCGTGACAGGACTGGAGGAGTGAGACCAAATAGAGTTTAACTTGATAATACAAGCCAGCACAAGGGCAAACAAGATACAAAGCAACACACGCGCTGCTAAATTTGTGACAATGCACGCTATTATGATTGGAACTAATTCACGCATTTGAAACAAGCATTTAAATCTAAGCTTTTCGTTCTGAGAACTGCTTGCTGTTTACACAAGTAATTTGCGTCAGCACTATTGACACAGAGAACACAAGGGTCACCGTTTCACAAGCGCATGTGGGTCAAAAGACTAGGCTGGCAAATGCAGCATTGCCAAACCTGCGAGGGCACTATATTTATCAACTTCAGCAACAAAGCACATATACGGTAAATTAGCCATTTAGAATAATTTTAAACCTTTGAGTTTTTGAAAAAAAAATGTAACATGTGACCCCTGTGCTGTGGAAATGCACATTTTCCAATAGATAATGGTGACCAACATGAGCGTTACAATGTTTAAAGACACCAGAATGATGTCTGGAGGAGGTGCATTTAAATCAGTAATGTACTAATTATTTTTGACGTGAGGACAGTAAAATGAATCTATTGTGAAATGCGCCATTGATTTCATGTCCTCTTGAATGATATATGACAAGGTTATCGGGCATCTGCGTTCTGCATCAATTTAGAGACCCACCGCCTAACGTTCATTGCATTTATTATACAAGACCTGTTGCACAAGCACAAAGCTTCAGAAAAGATGCGTCAAAACTAAAAAAGGAAGATAAAACGAATCTGAGACCACACCGTTTCACAGTTTTCTTACAATGACAGCTAAACATCTGTTTCATGCAGGGAAAGTTGGTCGCAGACCAATATTAAAGGGTAGGATTTATCCAGAACGCCTAAATTAGACCTCTGACGTGCTTTTCTTAGAGAAGTCTGTCACCATGACCACTAGTGAAAACGGATTTGGCTCAAGAGCAGGCAACAATCTAAGAGAAGCTTTGTCAAGCATTTGTTTGAAAAAAGGACATGTTGAAAAAAAAAAAAAAATGGAACAACAGAAGTACACGTACCCAGCATCGACTATCATTGCCTGGCCATAAGGGCGGGATCTGAGAGGGCAAATACAGGCTGCGCACATGTGTGTGTGTTTACGCTGGCGAAATCAAAGCAGTCAACTTTCAATGTTTTGGCACCCGTTGCAGGGCCAACACATAATTTGATCTGAGGCTGTAAATAGAAGCAAGTTTTCGACAGCATGAACAGTGTGTGTGTACGTATGCAATGCATGATTGCATCGTGTAAATTGCATAGATTGTGCACTTGTTGCTCTTTAGGCATGCCAAACTGCTATCTGTCCCACAGCTGCACGCACGTTGAAGATTTTACGTGGTCCTTTTAACTTCAGTCTTGTCTGTTTGCTTTAGTTTCCAGCCGCCCAGTGTTATTTATAAGTTGATGTACCTTTTAGGCTTACTGACGTTAGTTGGGCTTATATTTAGCCATGGGAAGGTGGGGGGAGCGCACCACTTGTTTTTAAGCCCATTTTTTTTTACGAGTGATGAACTCATGTTGGTAATGTCAAGGACTTTGGCAGCAGACTTTGTTTGACAGCTAGTCTCTCGCCTTTAGCCAGACCTGACCCAATTAAGGCCAACCCAAAGCGAGCTGTAACCTTTTGCCACTGGGTTCTGAAGGAATCTTGGACGCTGGAGAAGAATGGTAAATAAATGTGGCCGTTCCTCACTGTGGCTGCGGACAGATGGGCTAAATATGCGTTGAAGCTTTGGGAGCATGTGAACTCTCTCTCCCTCACTAAATAACATGGGACTATATTAACTCACACTTATGAGCCCACAAAAATAGTCTCGGTTTGGATGGGATTAATTAAAAGAACGCCAACAAAAACACAGCGGTTTCTCACACAGATAACCAACTCTCTTACTGGGGACTCTCCTGTGACTGCTGCCATGTTAGGGAAATGTATTTAAAGTATGCTTACATTTTTTAATCTTATTTTGTTTGTTTTCAAATGTAAACTATTGAACCTGACAAAAAACTGCAGAGCTATTTAAACGAGTAGTTCACTTTAAAAAAAAAAAACTTTTGCTGATAATTTCCTCACCCCCATGACATCCAAGATGTTTGTGTGTTTCTTTCTTCAGTCGAAAAGAAATTAAGGTTTTTGATGAAAACATTCCAGGATTTTTCTCCATATAATGCACTTTACTGGGAACCAAAGGTTCAAGGTCCAAAAGACTTTGAAACTGTTCAAAGGGCTTTAAACGATTCCAGGTGATGAATAAGGGTCTTATCAAGCGAAACGATTGATCATTTAAAAAATGAATAAAAAAGTCTATGTTTTATAAGCACAAATGCTCGCCTTGCTCTGTTCCGTGATGAGGGTTTGTGACTCTCCTGTTCAAACTCGTTAATCAAAATGAACAAATCTTTTTTCAAGTCATGACTCGAAGGGTCCTAAAAAAGACCCTTATTCATCGTCTGGTGTCGTTTAAAGCCCTTTGAAGCTGCACTGAAACTCTCATTTGGACCTTGAACCGTTTGGTTCCCATTGAAGTCCATTATATGGAGAAAATCCTGGAATGTTTTCATCAAAAACCTTAATTTCTTTTCGACTGAAGAAAGAAAGACATGGACATCTTGGATGACATGGGGAGGGGGAGTAAATTATCAGCATTGGTATTTTTAAAAGTGAATTACTCCTTTAAAGCTTCTCTTACTGATGATACATTTATAAGTGACTCTCATTCCAAATTTGGGAAGATGTTTGGCACATGTTGCGTTTTCAAATTCACGACCCGAACTCACAGCGTCAGCCAACTGGCGAGTATTTTTTTTACAGTATGCTCGCCAACATCGATTTCTACTCACAAACAGCACTTGGCGGGTGTTAATTTTGGACCCTGGCTGAGATATTAAGGGAGTCCCACACAGGCACTAGATGGCACTGCTAGCTTGTGCTGTGGAATCAGAAGCTACACTCTCCATGCATGAAATGAAAATATTTTAAATGTGTTACAAAATGCAGCTATTTTTTCCCCTTGGATTCACATTCTTCAATTCACGTGGGACACACTTTTCTTAGGTCGGAAAATATGGATCCATATAAATACAGACGAAAATCACATCCCTGATATAGAGACCAAAATATCATATAGACTTGGTTTAGCGAGCAACCATCTAGCAATGGCATAGGCTATAGCTATATGCTCATCACTCAGATCACCTTAGCAGAAACCCATAACATCCTAACATTTTTTTGGGGCATTTTATTTTTTGGAAAGTAACATGTCACTGCACCTGAATCCAACTCAGTCGTTCAAAGAACTTGGCTTGTGCTGTGATCCATTTCACTGAAACAGTCGATCTAACACAGAGAAGAAGAGTCCCTGGCCTTTTTATATCGTCTGAACAACAACCACCAGCCATGAGCAATTTGTTACCTGTCTTTATTTTGAGCAAAGAGAATTTCTCAGGTGTGCACAATCTATTTTGAAAGTGCTGCCAAGTCCAATAACAAACCCAATACAAGAAATTAAACAGAATAACCTGGAAGGAATGAGAAATTAGCTTCAGTTTGCAAAACTGTTTCTTAAATGTCCTCGTTTGAGCGACTGCCAGACATTCCTGTGAGGGAAAGGCAAAGAGAATTAGCTTTCAGTTCTGCTCTGCAATGGGAAAGGACATGCACACACACATAAGCCAAAAAATCCTTCAGAGCAAATGTGGTCAAACATGTCAATAAACTGCCCATGAAAGCTTGATATGAAGCCCGTATACATTTAGAGCAAGAAAAACACCCTTTTTTAGAATCATCGTTTGATGACTCATATCAAGGCATAGACTGATGCACTTACACTGAAAGTGAGGATTCACACACACACACACACACACACACACACACACACACACAGCACAGGGGACGCATACAGATTATTTCTCCTCAAATAGAACGCTGCGATGACTCATTCTCTGCACAGCCCCAACTGCAATGCTCCTCCCTGCCAGAGAACACGCACACGTTCACATATACATACACACTTGTGTGTATTTATTCCACCGATTCAAATATTAACACATGCAGAAAATGACAAGATCCTCTGTGTTGGAGGAAGGCCTTCTGCGGTATTCCAGAGAAATCAATGTTTCAAACAGGCTGACTCATTTAAAGCAGTGCTTACTGACCCGTGTCTTGCTCACTTTTCAGATAACAAACCCGTCGAATTATAATGGGAGTTGAACTGCAACTGCAAACAGAAGTTAAAAAAAAAATATGCATGAAGAACGGCGCATGCACATACAACGCAATGTTTATTTAATGTGTGCAATTTCTTTGGGAAAATGCTATTTTTAGAGCTTTTGGTTAAATGTGAATGTACGAGCATTATTACACAAATGCTTTCACCACTCTTTAATATAAGATCTATCAAAAAATGTTCTAAATTTTTCACTAACAAAAAGCAGATTATAACAATTCGACTCTGACCAAATCTGCATATTACACACTTAAAGGGGTACTTCATCACTTGCAAAATGGGCTTTCGATAAAACTTGGCTGCCTATACACTATACAGTAGAAAGGAGAATTGTTTAAACCGGTACCCTTACAATAACCGTTTTGTTATTAACCATCTGCCAATCCGACTGTCTATGGGCAGGGATAAAAAAAAAAAAAAAAGCAGAAGTAAAATCTGAAGTTTTCACGAAAGCCCTGGAGCTGTCAAAAGTTTCAAACTTTTTCTGACGAATACATTTTTTTCGAATTTCGATTGGAACCTCGATCCAGGTAACACCGAAAACGAGTAAACA